TCCCATCTTAGACTGAGACTGTCCACCAGTGGAGTCGACTGCCATGGGCTGGGCGCGAGCGGGTTCAACTGATTTGGGCCTCGAGGAACCTGGAGGAGCAGAACCCGAAGAAATGCCGGGCAAAACAATGCCCTGGAGGTGGTGCAAGGCCTGTGACAACTTCTTATCGTTCTGAATGGCCTTGGAGGTGGCGAACACCTCGATGAGTGCAGAGATATCCGGGCTGTCGTCCGAGTCCTGAGATACTGCGCCAGATGCTGGAAGGCCTTGAAGCTTGCCTTCCCAGGAGGCCACGTCGCGTGCTGTCTGCTGCTGCCTGGTGACGAGAGAGACGCGATCTGCCTGCAGGGTAGCGATAGACTCATCAATCTCACGGATCTGGTCAGCCAAGTGGAAGCGCTGCTTATATAACGTACGCTCCTGGGGGACGGTGAGCATATCCGCCTTCTGAGCACGACGAGACTGCAGTTCAGCATGCAGACCTGCAATTCGTGACAAGATTTGCTTGGCATGTGGGAGAGTCCTACACGCATCTAACTGACTCTGCAGAGTTTGCATGATCTGATCAGCATCCGCAACCGTAAGCTCATTGCCATTAGCATCGACGCCCAAACCGCGGTCATCATCGTAGTCGTCATCGATATCGTCAAGTAATCTGCCCAGAAACCACGATTGCCACTATCAGCGCTAAGACCATCAGCACCATAATCATCTCCAAACCGATACTGAACCTCCTCATCCGAAGGTGCCTCGAGACGCTCGTCCAAGGTACGAAGGGGTGGGGTGGATGAATTGGATGAAGCAGGGGGCAGAAAAGGTGATGGCGGCTCGGGACGGGTCGCTCGTCCTGCTTTGCCTCCTGACGGCTGGGCCTGACGGGCCTTGCCTCCTTTCTTGCCTCCTGGAGTCTGTCCTTTGGGGAAACGACCAAGAAACAAAGATTGGCAGAACTTTCAATGGCGTCGGGGGGTGGTGTCGGTTATCCCGAGATTTTCCCAGCATCGCGGCAGGCTAAGCTCACAAGATATCATATCCCCCGCCGACGCACGCGCGGCGGTCACCTGTCGACCAGTGGGCGGGCCCTCGAGCCTGCCCTTTGGCAGCGACTAAGCTCCAAGCCTCAGGGCAAGGCTTGGAACTTGAGCCAACATGCCTACGGACGACCGTCTTCGGGCGTCTGGCAAGGGTCTGGGGCCGCTGGAGGCCATCTTGGACCATCTTGGGGGCCTCGTGGAGCCGACGCTGGCCAATTGCACAGTTCGGCGAATCCTGGAAGTCCCTCAAGATCCCTTCCAGGGGCGTCCAGCAAGGCCCGGGATCCTGGGGGCCCCTTTCGGGTGGGGGGCAAGGTTTCCGCAGGGTCCGGATTAATGAAAATATGTGGAACGGAATACATGCATCTACATAGATGTCTGTATAATTTATGTACGTCGTATGTGCTTTCCCTTCTATATAAATCTAGTTTTGCAAAACGGCGGGGTGGGAAAACCTGCCCCCCCCAGGTGGTGGGAAAACCTGCGCGCCCCCCCAAGCTGGACCCCCTGGATCCCGGACCCGCTGGACGCCCTTGCAAATGGTCCCTCTGGTTCTCCAGTGCGTCCCTGTCGGGCCTAGCCAGCGGGCCCAACGCGGTCAGGAGGGTGGTCAAACGGCCCCGCGAGAGCCCCAAGCGGCCGCAGAGACCCATCAGACGCCTGAAGACGGCCCAAGGAACACACTCAAGAGCCCTTCCAAATACCAAAGCCATATATGTGTGTGCAGGCGGGGGTTAGAGCGGTAGCTCATCGGGAATAAAGGGGAGCCACAACACACATTGATCACTCACTCTGGGCTCTGCCCCTTCTTACTCCCTCTACTCGTTGGCCAAAGCTGTTGACAGAGCTTCGAATGCCTCGAGACAACGGCACCAGCATGTGCGAGCCTCAGGACTCACCCCGAGGCCACGGCAGGAATTCACACCTCGAGTGTACCACCGTCGTCCAACGACCGGGGTCATAACGCCGTCCCAAGTGGGCCTCGAGGGGGAGCAGACTCGCACCACGCTGTGCCCAGAAGCCCGAGAGAAGCTCTCGCGAGACGCTGAACGAGCAAGATCGGCCAGGCAGAGAAGAAGCCTGGACGGCATGGCACAGGGCGGAGTGCGGGTGGGCCACAAAGGCTGCCATGCATTCTGATGCGGCCAACGTTCGCTCATTACCCCTTTGCCCACACATTGACCGTAAACGTGTTCATGTGTGTGCAGGCGGGGGTTCGCGCGGTAGCTCATCGGGGATAAAGGGGAGCCGCAACACATATTGATCACTCACTCTGGGCTCTGCCCCTTCTTACTCCCTCTACTCGTTGGCCAAAGCTGTTGACAGAGCTTCGAATGCCTCGAGACAACGGCACCAGCATGTGCGAGCCTCAGGACTCACCCCGAGGCCACGGCAGGAATTCACACCTCGAGGAGTGTACCACCGTCGTCCAACGACCGGGGTCAGAACGCCGTCCCAAGTGGGCCTCGAGGGGGAGCAGACTCGCACCACGCTGTGCCCAGAGGCCCGAGAGAAGCTCTCCACTCCAAGAACACCCACAAGCTCTCCAATGTGTTCCGAAATATGGCTGAAAGCCGCCCACAACAGCCCTTGAGAGTCGCACCTGGCCTAGATTTGAGGTTACTTGCTACAGTACGCCCGAGCGCGTGCAATCGAGGTATCTGAGAAGGTCTGGAGCGAGGAACGGGTGGCAGGCTGAAGCCGCCTCTCGGCCAAAATCGCGGCACCATCTTGAATATAAATCTTTGCTGTCCTCATTGAGCTCCAACGACCTCGAAGCATCACTTTAGGCAAGTCGCCTGACATCGCCTGACAACATATATTCGTGCGTAGCACCGCCTCTACGTAAACTATACGGGACGAGGCCAAGATGCGTGCAACCAATCTCTCGCAGGCCAGTGCGAAAGAGCAAATGAAAGGCACGAGGAGACGAGGGCCAAAAACGCCCGTCACGCTGCAGCTGCAAATGGACGACCGCTCCCACGAGCGGGTCATTCAGCGTCACCGTCTCCCGCGCTCCCTTCTGACAGGCTGTCTTTGTCCAGGGCAACGACACCACGCCTCTGCCGCAAGGCTTGAGCTGAATGACGCTGCTGGAGAGGCCGAGAGCCTCGCCTGTCCGAAGGCAGAGGTGGAAGCCTGCGAGGATCGTCGCGGCGAAGGCGATCTCACCGCGGCCCAGCGCCCAGCCCGCGAGCGCAGTGCACACCAGCGGCGGCATCGGTGGCGCACGCTGCGGCGCCTCTAGGCGCCCCCAGACCGACAACAATCTCCACGCGCCTGGGTACTGCCGGCGCGTCCTCAACAGGTGCTGCGCCCCACTCAGTGCATCGTTAGCTTGACCTTTAGTGGCACCTTCGGCCCACAAGTTTTCAAGGTAGTCTTGTAATGTGACATCCATGTCTTCCCAACTGAACGGCAACGGCAGATTCATGGCGTTAAGATAGTCAGCAACTGCTGGGCTGCTCGACGGTATCTGGCGAGAGTGGCAGCGCCGATCCGGGCATCCCGCAGCTTCCCCAGGCCAGCTCTGGCTGTGCGCCTGTCGGCGGGGCTAGACCGCTTCCCCATCCTTCAGGCGCGACGGCGCGTCCGCGGGGTTCCGAGCTGATGAGGTGAAGCCGAACGCCGCCCGCGCGCCCATCGCCAGCTCCCAGGCCGAGAAGCTGCGCACAACCTTGTTGAGCTGACTGCTGCTGGAGCGGCGCTTCGAGAGCGCACCGATGTTGACCATGCTGTCGAGGAGGTGCAAGAAGACGCGCTGCTGTCGGCCCAAAGATCGAGCACGCCATCGAATCATCATCAGCGCTCCCTGGCACCCCAGCACATTGATATGTTCAGGAAGATCCCACACCAGCTGTCGTGCCTTACGCCACTGCCCAAGACCTGCATCAATCTCTTGCTGAGGGAAAACTTTGCTGAGCTCCTCAGAGCTTCCGTCACAACGAAGGTCCGCACCATTACTGTGGCACGCCATCACAAGGCCCATCACCAGCCTACGCGAGACATCCGAATCACGCCAGGACGTAGCATCGCGTTTGGCCAGTTCTGCAAGCAGCACATCTGCATGACATGCCTCGGACTGACTGCAGTGGCAGACCAGCTTGGCGCCGCGCAAGTCCTCCAGGCGGCGAAGCAGCTCGGGCTGGCCGCGCAGCCATCCAGCAAACAGCGCCACCGCGTCCTCGCGGGAGCAGCTCGGGCTCACTGCGAACGGGCTGCCGAAACACGACGGGGCGAGGCTCCAGCGCCGTGAGCCGCGCCCGACGTAGACGAGCCTGCTGGCCGCCGTCGGCGCCGCCGCGGCGGGCCGCTCGCCCGTCCGCTGGCGTTCGCCCGATGCGGCTGCGCTGCGGGCCACCAGCTCGCTGCAGACCTCCGCGTCGACCTTCGCGCGGCTGCGTCGCAGCGAGGTGACGTCGCCAGCCCGCAGCTTGCGCCCGCCAGCCCAAGCCCGAGCGCTCTCGTGCAGCTCGGAGAAGGGCGGCACCGCCACCAGCAGCCCAGCAGCGACAGCCCAGTGCGCCAGCAGCCACGCCACCACCTCGCACTGGAACGAGTTGCCGACCAGCGAACGCCTCAACCCCTCGTACTTGCCGGGCTCGGCCTTCGCCTCACTGCTGGTCATGCAGGGCACGGTGTGGCCTTCGGCGAAGCCCATCAGCTTCTCCCTCATCCCCGCGTCAGGAGGCGCGATCCGTCCGTCAGGCCAGTGAATGCACCACTTGTCACGGAACTGGTAGGGCGGCGCCCAAAGGCCGCCTCCTCCCAGCGCGTCAGCTCAGCAGCCGTGCACTCCCCGATGCCCGCGGGCCTGGGGCGCGGCTGCGAGCGCCAGCCGGCAGCCACTCCTCCAGCGGCGGGCGCTCCACCTCCAGCGACACGCGGCACAGGCGGCGAGAGGCGCCGTCCTTGGTCAGCACCATCACGGTCTTGGCCTCGTACGACGGCAGCAAAGCCCAGGACGGCCAGTAGAGACGAGGACGCCTCACCCAGCCGACGTCACCAGCCTCAACCTCCAAGGGGATCCGCTCGAACAACCCGCTGAGGTGAAGGACGTCGGACTCTGCCATTGATGCTACATTCTCGCCAAGGAAGTCAACGCTCACCTCGGGCATGGCTGCGCGCAGGCCTCGGATGACCCTCACCATGTGATCGACCAGCGAGGCGCGCGAGTCCGACGAGCCCTTGCGGTCGACGTTCAAGCTCGTGTAGATCTGGCACGGGAAGCCGCCGATGACCACCACGCGGGTGATGCGGCCGCGGGCCCGCAGCAGGCCAGCCAGGGCAGCGGGGTCAGCAGATGTAACATCGCCGAGGTGCTGCGCGCCAGGATAAGCGCGCCGCGCGACCCGAACCGCCTGCGGGTCCACCTCAAACGACAGGTGCACCGCTGGTACCAGGCCCAATATCTCGAAGGCTCTGCGCCCACCGCCGATGCCATCAAAGACGGTGATCAGGGCGGTCTCCTCCTCGCAGGCGGCGTTAGCGGGCCGCTGGCGCCTGCCCGCAACGACGCGCCCGCGCTCGGTAAGCGCCGTGCTGTACACCACGGCTCCAGCGGCCTCCGACGCGTCCGAGGCCGTCACCAGGTGGTCGACCTCGAGCCTCATGTCAGCCACGCAGAGCCCCGACAGGGCCAGGCACATCAGCAAGTCCTCGATCACGCTCACGCTGAAGCGGCCTCCACAGCGCGGGTCGTTGAGCCACTTCCAAGTGTAAGCGAAGCTCGCGGCCAGCGGGCGGCGGAAGCAGCGCACGCGAACCCAGCGCCCAAGAATAATACGTATCAATCGCATGCTGGCTCGCCTTTTGCCCAGAACCCAGAGCGCGAGGCTGGCCATCTCAGTAATATATCCTGCAGGTGGCCGACGGACACCTTCAACACCATCAACAAGCTCGCCCAGAGTGGTAGCGCGCACCACGCGGTGCAGGTCCTTGCCCGGGGAGCCAGGCGACCCTGCGGCCTCGTAGCAGGCCCGAGCGTCAGTCAGCAGCTCGGGGACCGTCCCGCGTAACTTGTCGGCCTCAGATTTGTCGACGATCTCGGCGATCTCTAAGTTGTCGATGTACACCATCCAAGCAGGCGGGCAGGGCTTCTCTGCACCAAGCGGCAGGCGGCGGCGCCGGGTAATCTCGCAGCTGGGGCTCAGGCCGCGAGGCACCGCGCTGCCGCGACGCAGCATGTTGCGATGAAGATGAGTCGTGACCCCCGCCGCGCTGATCCAGCCCATGCCGATCACGCGCAGGCAGATGTGGGTAGTGCCGCCTTCCTTGAGACTCAGTAGGCGCGACGGCACTGGCGGCCCGATCACCAGGTACGGCCACCACGGCGGCGGCGCGCGGAAGACGTAGAAGAAGGCCTTCCTGTCGGCGCCGCTCCACAACAAGTCCTCGGACTCCGTCAAGACCAGGCCGTTCAGCTGGCTCATCGCCGGCATCTAGGGCGCGTCGCCAACGATGCACTCTTGGCAGGCGTTCGACGGGATCAGATTGGTGATGGGCCTGAGCACGGGCCTCAGCACCCCGCCCTGACACTTGACAGGGGCGTCGTGGGCCTTCGGAACCCCAAAGGCTCCGTTCAGCAGCGGCGACCCATCCCGGCGCGCGATATCAGGCGCGGGGATCGGGCCGACCATCCCGCGCTCATGCAGGGCCTCAACGACGCGATGCCACTCGCCTTCCGAGGCCCAAACCCGCGCCGAAGTCGGCGCCGCACGGCGCAGCGCAGGCGGCAGCAGCACCAGCCCAAGATCCAGCAACGCGTCGGGCACGAAGCCCGTCGCGACATCGGCAGCCTCAATCGAGGCCGCAACGCCAGGCGGCGGCAAGCCGTCCAGCACCTGCTCCAAGGTCAGCTTGTGAGGCGCGGTGATCTCGGCGCCGCCGTAGCCGATCTTGCGGTCCTTCAGGCGGTCCTCCCAGTTGAGCTCCGCAGGCAGGCTGGTCTCGATGCGCGTCGCCAGGTACAGGCGGCGGCCCAGGGCCGCCAAGGCTGCCCGCTGAGCAGCGTTCGGGCGCCTGCGGCAATGGCGCGCGAACTTCAGCGAGCGGAAGCCTGCCTCCCAGTTGAGCGCCAGCACCGTGACAACCAGCCTGCAGTGGAGCGCCTCCCAGTTCAGGTCGCTAAGGTCATCGCCGTCGCGCACGACGCCGGTCTCCACGATGGCAAGGTACGGTAACGGCAGCAAGTCACGTTGCAGCCGACCTCCCATGGTGGTCATATGCTCGCGCAGCTGAGGTTTGAGGGAGTCGCGGACGTAGCGACCGAACGAACCAGGGAAATCCTCGACGAGGTTGAGAAGGATCGGGCCCACGTCATAAGGCTCACGGAGCAAGTCACCAGCAGCACCAGCAAGCTCTCTCCAGTCCTGCCGTGGATCGTGTCGAGAAGAATTCTCATCAGCAGTGGCAGGCGGCAACTCCAGCGGGGTCGCAGCGCAGTGGTCAGGTAGCGAACGAAGACGGCGAGGCCCCAGGCGGTCCGCACGGCGCAGCAGCCTGCAAAGAAACGGCTGCTGCAGCCCGGGCGTCATCAGTAAGGGCATCGTCACCATGCGCTTTCACCGCGCCGCCGCCGGGGGGGCAGTCCCGCGGCCGCCAGGCGGGCGGGGCCGCGAGCCGTTGGCTCTCCCTGCGTTGCGTCCCCTGCCGCCGCGGCGTCTCGGGCGACCGCGTCCTGCTCCCTGGGGCGCCGCCGCCGCCGCTGCTGGCTCGTCCTGCCTGAAAGTGTGGCGCTCGGGGCTCCCCGCAAGCACAACTCGGCGCGGGTGAGGGCTGTCTCCTCGGGGGGTCCGCTCCGCCTGAAGGGGCGGAGTCCGCGCGCGGGGGCCTGAGGGCGCTGCGGCGGGCGCCTCCTCGGCCCGAGGCGCTGCCGCTGGCGACCCTGGAGCGCGAGCGGGGCTGCTCCCTCGGAGCGGGAAATAGCGGAACCGCCCGCGACCTCGACCCTTGCCCTTGCCGCGCGAGAGCTCCCGCGCTGGCTGAAGCGCGGTTCGAGGGGGGGGGCGCGGCCGCTGGTCCTCCCGCGCCCCCCCCCCATCGGGTCACCCGCGCCCCTGGCCGCGGCCGAGCGCCCCGAAGGCTCCGCGGCTCCTGGCCTCCTCCAAGCGCCTCTGCAGCAGCGCCGAGCGCCGCGCCAGATCCTGCTCGTCCATCGACGCCAGCGACGGCCTCACGTCCGGGACGATCTCGAGCTCGCTCGCAACCTGCCAGCCCGCGTCCGACAGCGAGAGCTCCAGCGCCTTGAACCTCTGCATCAGCACGTCGCTCAACTGCGGCAGAGAGCCGCTCTCCAACTGGTCCAGCGCCGTCGCCAAGGTCTGGAGCTCGCGCACCGTGTTGACCCGCAGCTGGGACACAGGGTGGTGACCGAACACGATGGCCTGCAAGTAGCCGACCACCTTCGGCCTCGTCTCGGAGCCGTCCGCCCCCTCCCGCAGGCCCATGACGCGGGCGATGTTCTGCATCGCCTCGTCGTAGAAGGCGCCAGGCTGTCTCTCCGCCAGCAGCCGTACGCTGCCGCCGCGAGAGGGGGCATCGCGAAAACGCGGCTCGCCTTCGCCATCGCTGCGGCTGCCAGACTCACTGCGAGCCTGACGCCTGCCGCGGCCTGTCACGCCGCGGCCGCCGCCGCCTCCGACCGCAAGCGCGCGGGCAGCTGCTGCCGCCGCCAGGCGGTCGGCGGCGGCTCCGCCAGGGATGGGGGCGGGACCGCCTCGACCAGCTCCACCACCACGGCCGCCGAAGGCGCTCGGGCGCACCCAGGGCTCCACCAGCCCGCGCGTCGAGCGCAGCCGCAGCCACTCCACGTGCAGGACGGCACGGCCCGCCTGGCTCGCCACACCGCGCAGGCCCCTGCGCGCAGAGGTGCAGCAGCCCAGCAGGACCGCCGCCGCGCGGAGGGAAGGCGCCGTCAAAGCGCATCGCCTCGGCGGGCAACGACGCGCCCCTGAACTGCGCGCTGAGATACTGACCTCCAGCACCTGGCACGCCGACCCCGTCGATCTCGAACAGCGCGGTCCCACTGATCGCCCCCGCCGCGTCGTGGGTCGGCAGCTCCACGGCCAGGCCCTGGCTCCAGCTGGCCCCGATGAGGGTGGCTGCCTGCACCCAAGCTCCGTCGACGAGCCCGCCAAGCTGTACCCCTGCAGCCGGGGCGACCGCGCCTCCCAACACGCCGAGGGCAGCGCCCGGCCCCGCGGGCCCCGCGCCAGGGGGCGCGCCCGCGCCTCCAGCTCCGCCAGCGCCTGCAGCGGCCAGCGCGCCAACCAGCGCCGCTCCAACGCCGCCGCCGCCGCCGCCTCCAACGCCGTCGCCAGGCGCCCCGAGGGCAGGGGGGGGCGCGCCCGCGGCGCCCACGCCAATGGCTCCAGGCAAGCCAGGGAAGCCGCCGAGCCCTGGCACCACTGGCGCCCCAGCAGCGCCGCCTCCAGCGCCTCCGCCAGCTGCACCTCCAGCTGCGGGCGCGAGGCCGCCTCCGAGGCCGACGGGCGCCCCTGCCGCTCCAGCAGCCGCGCCAACGCGCCCGCGAGCGCGCCGTCCTCCGCCACGTCCAGCGCCTCGCCCGCGGGCGGCAGCGAGAGGCGCAGGAAGAGCCTTCGCCTTCGCCTTGCCTTTGGCCGTGGCCGTGGCCTTGCCCTTGGCCTTAGGCGGCATCAGGCGACAAGGTCGACAGCGCCGTAATCTGCGCCGCCAGCAGCCGCGCCTGCTCGACGAGCAGCGCCCGCTCCTGCGGCGCCAGCCGCGCCTCGCGCGCCCCCTGGCGCGCCAGCGCGAGGAGGTAGCACAACTCGCACACCTCCAAGAGCGTGCCGCCCTCCGCGAGGGCCAAACTCTCGCCCTCGGCGAGGCGCCCAGCGCACCAGCCGCAGATCCGAGGCCGCTGGGCCCGCGGGGCGGCGGAGCGCGCGGTGGCGCAAGCAGGGAGCATCCCAGGCCTTCCAAGGCCCTGATCCACAAAGGCTGCCATGCATTCTGATGCGGCCAACGTTCGCTCATTACCCCTTTGCCCACACATTGACCGTAAACGTGTTCATATATGTATTGTATGTATTGTATGTAATGTATGTATTGTATGTATTGTATGTATTTATGTGTATATATATATATATATCCCAAAGAAAGTCTATGATTTTTATACTCGGTTCTGCGGTCTTCGTGGCGCCTGAGACCTCCCAAGCAACCTCGAACATCTGCCCCCCCCCAAAAAAAACGACCTCGACGGCCTGCCAGGCAGTTCAAGCGAGAACGGAGGAGGAGAAGAAGAAGGATGAGAAGTAATGGGGCTGGGGGGACTGGGAATGGGAATGGGACTGGGAATAGGAACGGGATTGGGGTCAATGACGTAGTCGTAATCAACTCAAACCAAGGAGAGGAGGTTGCCTGCCCGATTCGCACGAAGACCTTGATGCCCTCGCGCCTGCCCGCCAGGATGACACCCGAGGGAACGAAATGGACGCCGCCTGTAGAGGTTGACCGCCGTATGCACCCGATGTGCCCAACACAGCACGGTATAACTGAGCCAAACACGCCCAGCGCTGCACGCCCACCGCGCACCACGAATGTCAGCCCCAGCGGAAATGGCAACCCGCCCGTCACATGCGGCAAAACAAATGGCACCTATATAAAACCGCAGTGCTGTGGCAATCACCGAAGCCAGTGCGTCGGCACTACGGCGGGACTCGAGCGAGAGAACGGCAAACACCCAATATAGAAACGAGACACTGAAAATCAGCTGGGAGCGTATCGCTGCCAACAAGCGCTACAGACCCACATGGAATTCCACGAGCGGCCGTTGTGGCCCCTGCGCCCTGGTGCTCACCACCAACCGCAAGAGGGTGAGCCAGCCCGAGCACGCCGTCCGTCACGCGGCGGACGGCGCACCGTGCGATGCGTTTGCCGCCAGATGCTTCCACGGTCCACGCGAAGCGCATTCCGTTTCACGGGAGCTTCACCGAGATCAGCGTGATATACTTTGATATCCTCACGCCCATCGTCAAGATCGACGTGACACACTTCGAGACCAACAGAAGCCAAGGTTCCGACACCTGCCCGCTCTGGTGGAGACGTACCGTCAAGTATGCCGAGACTATACACGCATAGAAGAGTACGGGCGCGAACAGACGCGGCCCCAAAACGAGAGGGGTACAACGTCCGACATGAGATACAACAGCGATCCGACGACATTATCATCGTCATCATCATCATCATCATCATCATCATCATCATCATCATCATCATCACCATCATCATCACCATCATCATCATGATCATGATCATGATCATCATCATCATCATCATCATCATCATCATCATCATCATCATCATCATCATCATCATCATCATCATCATCATTGCCACGACCACCCTCGCGATGGCGTCCAAGTGCGACAGCAATTACAACACAAAACCCGCCACCAAGCACGGCACCAAGCACGCCACAAACTACGACAACGCAAAGTACGAGACCAGGCACGACACGCCCAAGCAGCCCGAAGAGGTTACCAAATACATCGTCCTCCTCCTCCTCCTCCTCCTCCTCCTCCTTCTCCTCCTCCTCCTCCTCCCCTTCCTCCTCCCCTTCCTCCTCCTCCTCCTCCGCCTCCTTCTCCGCCACGTCTTCACTTGCCTCCGACGTCTCATCACGCATCCCGTCACCCTCGAGGGCCGAGGTGTCCAGGGCCGGCGGCACTGGCCGCCAGGCCTCAGCAGCACAGCGTCGTGGAGACACGGGTGGACCACGGCTGCGCCGCCTACGGCGACGACGACAACGACGCCTAAGTAGTAACGGCCACCACGGGCACGACGGCCACGACGACCACGCCGCGTCCGGCCTCCTCGCCCTGCCGCCCGCCGTGCCGGCTCTTCGAGGAGCCGCTGCCTGAGCCTCGAAGGCCCCCAGCAGAGCTCCGACGGCAAAAAAAAAGTGGAGCCTCGAGGGTCGCCAGCGGAGCCTCGAGGGCCACCGGCAGAGCTTCAGCAGCAGGAAGCAGAGCCTCGAGACCCACCGGCTGAGCTTCGAGGGCCACTGGCAGAGCCACGACGGCAAGAGACAGAGCCGAGGGGGCCGCCAGCTCGGCTTCAAGAGCCACCAGCTGAGCTTGGAGAGCCACCCGCAGAGCCACGAGGACCACAGGCTGAGCTACCAGGACCACGCGCAGAGCCACGAGGGCCGCAAGCAGGCCTGCGAGAGCCACCAGCCGAGCTACGAGGACGACAAGCAGAGCTTCGAGGACCACAGGCTGAGCTACGAGAGCTGCCAACCGAACTACGAGAGCCACCGGCACCAGCCTCCCTGCCACCTGGCCGGAACAGCTACCTCGACCAGCAGGGGCGACGCAACTACCACCACGCGGCCCTGGACATGACGACGTGGACGCCGCCGTACACCAGGCCCGCCGATACACCCCTGCGTAGCTGCCTCAAGAAGCCCCCGCACCACGGAGGCATAGAGGAGGAACGCGCCGACGAGAGCGACGAGGAGGGTAATGACGGCGACG